TTTAACAGTTGTGTTCTTGCTTCACAGCTAGCATTGGTTTGCATTGCGGCAGAAGTGTCAGTGCTGTCAGCAGTTATTCCAGTTACTGTTGATAAATAAACTGGTTCTTGCTACATTAAAAGTAAACAGTGTGTAACTTTAAATGACGGTGTGACTTGCCTGACAGAGTGCTACGAACATCTAAGGCAGCAGCGTTTGGGGACAGTGTAGCTCACAACTGAGCTGCCACGCTGCTTCACGGTATGAACAAGGTGTGACTGGGCAAGTCCTGCAAAATGGCTCTTCCCCCAAGGTTCTCACCAACACATGATTTCCACCACCCCCCAACACACACCGCTGCTTACTCGGTCTGCTTGCTCTTGGTTCGATTCTGGGCGTTCTTACATGAAAATCAATGGGTGATGCATTTAATGGAGTTGTAGTAGGAGTGTAGCAGGTACTGAGTTGCAATCCTTTTATAAGGTACGCTACAGTAGTAAGACTCCACATGGTTACATATGGCATCTCTATTTGGTTTATTTAATAAAGAGTTTTTCACTAGAACCTGGTGCTGCGTGTGCTGTTGCCTCATTTATAGGCCTCTACCTCCTCTGTCATCAAGATTCTCCTTAGAACCATGCTTCTGACTCCCCTAAGATGTGAGTGTACTCTATTTTGGGACAAATGCCAAGCTGTTCCAACTGACAGACTGAGCTTGATGAAGTCACTTTGTGTTCTCTCTCCTCTTTGAAGTTCGTTACCCCACCCAAAACTAGATTGTAAGCTCTTGAGCAGGAACAGTCTTAGTCTGTAAAACTTAACTTCTGTAAAAAGCAAAGTCTATTGAATAAAACCGAAACATGAGGCTAACGCAGCATGTCAGTGCAGTAGTGTTGGTGGTCGCTGGGAGCGTCTGTGCTGTCACAGCGGAATGCCCCCTCCTGTGAGGGTTTATTTATGGTGTGCCTGTACATGGGCACTCCGCCTTGTGTGTCAGAGGCTATGCGTGGGGGAATGCGTTCTAATGAAGCACTGAACTTGTGCTCGTTCCTAATGGCTGCTGCTCCCGCGCAGGCGTGGATCTGAGAGCAGCAAGCAGCCGCTGCCGTTCCGTAGCGCCTCTGCGCGTTGCTGCCAGCCGTAACAGGGAAGGCAAGCTCTAGGCTTCATGATTTCCCCACCACCACGTGGTTTTCCTCTATATTTACTCAGTCTGACTTTTTCTAACCTCTTGCTTTTCATTACTAAGGTAACAAAAATCACAGTTTACCAGTCAAATGTTATGGGCTATGTAATGGCTTTACCCTGGGAACAGCATTTTAATGAGAACTCTGACGTTGGTATTCCAGCTTTTGTCGCTGTATCAACAGTTAAATCTACACTCCTCAGCTTTGCAATTTTCTAGCAGTATAACAAAAATAAGTTTCTGTTGTTCCTATTTCAGAGATGCTTTTCTCCCTGTTAGTATTCAGTAAGGTAGGATGCAGCCTTCACAGCTTTTTCACTAGACCTGCAGCTCCAGAGCAAGTCTGGTACCACACCATGTCTTTTTACACAATGTAGTTCTGGTTTGTACACTTTTTGGTTTCTTGAAAGTCACGATCTATCAATAAGAAAGCCACGATAGACTTCAATTTTACAACCGTTGCAGTTACGCATTTTAACACCACTGTTTTCCTGAATAGCTCCTTGACTCCTTAGCGTCTCCTCCTTGTGTTAGGAAGCACATTAAAAGTAGCTTCTGGAACCCATTGCCTTGGGAGGAAAGCTTGCTGTAAAACCTGCTCCTTCCTTAGCTGTCTAGCCTAACTTTCACAAATAATTTTAAGGACGTGGAAAGGTAAGGCATAGGCAAGACTAAGCAACGTTTGGTGTTTTGTGGGGTTTGTTTTTTGTTTTAACGGTAGGCTAGTCACAGAAGAGGAAGACACTTAAAAAAGTATCAACAGTTTTTAGGTGAAACTTAATGGTAGTCTACTAAAATTGAAAAAAAAAATAGGACTTTCTGAATTCTGCCTACAGTTTGTCTTTTCTGTGGGCAGGTAACTTGAAAGCTTGAAAAAATTACGTCATATGCCCAGACCTAATGGTCAGTGTCTGTGTCACCTGCACTGTTGTAACTCAGTCCACCCAAAATTCTTAATTCACCTGAGATTTTGTAGGGACATATTTGCTAGTTAAGTTTCATACATAAACTTCTTATATACACCTGTTGAACAATAAGGGGAGTGGAACTGGCTGAGGGCAGTTCATGCTACTCTCTAGTCTGCAAATTTACAGGTAATGGAAGTAGGTGGGCTTGGGGCTGATATCTTCATTTTATAGGAATCAGCTGGAGTGCGCTGCTTTCCCTTGGGATTGCTCTCTGGAAGAGTTCCAGCACGCTTCCTTATTTTCATCATGTGCCAAAATTCAACCATGTAACCGTTCCCCACGTGGGTGTATGCTGTAATTCCCCAGCAGAGTTCTTGGAGCTCGCTCCATTTCTGCTACCGAAGGAGTGGGCATCAGGGGGTTTAGCCTCCTGCTTTTTTTCCTTCCTCTTCCCTAGAACCGCAGAAACTTGTGAGGCCCAAGCCCAGAAATCCTTGGCTTTCTGGTTTTACTGGCTATGGGCCTAATTTAGCATCTAGCAGAATTTGTGCACGTGGGCCATGAAGTAGCCTAAAGTCCTGGTCCTGCAAAGGCTGCATCCGTAGACTTTAGAATGCTATTATGTCATTTAATTAAAAGTTGACAATTGTGTTGACTCAAATGTGCTATATTCCCCTCCCCGAACTAGAAATAAAGTTCCCAGTTCATCATGTGTATCTGTTAGCTGTTCCATGTTTTGGTTGAAGTTCATGAACTAGCGGTGAAGTAAACTCCTTGTGAGTACCAGCTGGGATAGATGCGCTTCACACCGGTGCCTAACCAACAGCAAGACATTTGGAGGCGTCACTAATGGAAGTTTCCACTATGAATTTACTCCATCACTCTGAGGCTGCGGTGAAACTAACAAATAAAAGAACAGATGCACACAAATATTTAAAGCAATCGTTTAATATAAAATGCAGAGTGAATTGTTTGGAACGGCTCGTTTCAAGAGCAGTAATTCAGTGCATTTTGCGCTCTGAGGCAGTGCTTCCTTTTTTGGGAAATACCATTTGACGCTACCAGCTACTGTACACACAAGTGCAAACAAACAACATGATTTACATGTTAATGGCATAGTTTATTTCTTCAAAAGGTATCATTTGGCATTTAAACTTGCATTGCCTGTATGTGGAGATTTTATGTGTTAAGTGCAAATGCTTTTTTTTTCAACACACCTGACCATAAAGTTGCTACATTGTCATCATGCTGTGGCCTGTGGGTTTTATAACAGTTTTATAGGTTTTCTTTATAAAAGATATAAAAAAAAATTTGTTGCTATCCAGTTGTTAGTAATTATTTTCATACCTTACAAATTAGTATGCCTCTTAACATTTCTTATCATTACACGCTTGCTTCTCTTTTAGGCTGTCTGTTTTGCAGACACTTGTCAAGTTATTAAATAGAAAAGGATACACTGTTGTGAATAAGCATGTAAGTGAATAAAATGTCGTCCTTTTAACAGCATAAATAAATATCCAAACCAAAAGCTCTTCATTCAAAGTCACTATCAGAGTGTAATCTCATTATTACAAGTACAGATAAATAGTAATTTTGTACAGTTTAATTTGTTTTAAGGATTTGAGGAAAATAAAAAAATTAAATCCATGCACTTGAAGATACTTATAAAATACTTTTATAAAATATAAAAGCTAAAATGAGAAACTTTAGTACTTCTTGAGAAAGGTATCCAAATGGGAGGGGAAAAGGAGTGCACAAAAGTAAATATGCTATAGTATAGGAAACAATAGGAACTCTTTCACCATCACTCACTTTCATGGAAGAAACTTGTGAATGATTCCATTTCACAGGATGAAGGTAAGACAATATTGACCAAACGAGCTGTAAAATCAATTGGTACATTATGTTTACTTGTAGCTATGATGGTGAAAGTAGTGAGAAAAATGCAGTAGCCTCCTGGGCCTCTTTCCTCAAAGGAAAACTAGGAAAAGCAGAACACACTTTGTATCTCTTAGGAATACACAAATCCACAGTGAATTTAAGGTGAAGATAAACTTCAGCTACAATTTTTCTTTCAGTGCTAAAAAAGAATAGTAAAATAAGGTCACTTTGTCTATGAAGGTTCAAGTACTCACGATGAAACCACATTTTTCTTCCATCTGTAACTTGGATCTAAAACTTGCTTTTTTTCCCCTACTGATGTGTTGTCCCCCCATAATCAGAAACTAAATTTCTAGTTTTCTGTAGGCCTACAAATGCAGTATTTCCAATTCTGCTTACATTGATGGCCTAGAATCATAGAATTATAAAGGTTGGAAAAGACCTCTAAGATCATCAAGTCCAACCATCAACCCAACACCACCATGCCTACTAAACCATGTCCTGAAGTGCCACATCTACACATTTTTTAACACCTCCAGGGATGGTGACTCCACCACTTCCCTGGGCAGCCTATTCCAATGCCTGACCGCTCTTTCAGTAACAAAATTTTTCCTAATATTCAACCTAAACCTCCCCTGACGCAACTTTCGGAAGGTAGGAGAAAGCAAGCAAAAAGCATCTAAAATTTCACTTACACTGTAAGAACTTGCTGGAAATTAAGGCTAAATGAGGCCTGAAATGTGCAATTTTTAGAAAGCCAGGGAAGCTGCTGTTACTGGGGACAACAAAACCAGAGCTACGTAAGCCAGACTGAAGCAGGAGTCTCAGAAGGAGTCCCTGCAATTAATACTAAACAGATCTCATTTGCTTCTCAGCTGGTAGACTTTCTAACAGATCACAATCTGCTCGGTTTGCCAGGCCCTCGGACATGCTGTCTTCCTCAAATATGGTCTTTTCTGCTTGTACTATTGTAGTCACCAACCTCCAGTCCTCAAGCAAATATCATTCTTTCAGGAAAAATAAAACCTAAGTGATCTTCAGCCATCTCATTTTTGTTTCTGCTCTTTTTCATGATCTTGTTTCTGTTCTGATTTGACCAAGTGTTTGGGTATTACGAAAACACTGCCATCATTACTGCAGTGAATGACATACTGGCACGGGCTAACAGGTCTACCCTGGTCATCCCTCAACCTACTGAAAATGTCACGGTACAAGTTGTTTAATTTTTCCTTCATCCGGCTGATTGATCTGCTACACTGAACGTGCTCCTTTTTAAGGTTCTCCTTTTGCATTTGAAGATTACACACATCTTCTTCCAAGTTAAGAATTGCATTTATTTTGCGTTTACGACAATTTTGGGCAGCAACTTTGTTTTTTCCTCTTCGTCTGATATTGCGTAGAAGTGATACCTGAGTATCTGTTAGATGATTCTTTCCTAGCATGGTGTTGAAGGACTCTACAGGCATGGTCACAACTTCATCAACCGAAAAGGGTATTCTGAGAGCTTTTGCATGGCGTTCATCGCTGCTAAGGTTTGTATCGGTAGAATTATGCCAACTGTCCTTTACTTTGCTTGGTTTCTCCATCTGCATCTGTTGATGATGCTCCAGAGGGGATGCTGCTTGACTTGGCAGCTGATTATACATGTGGTTATGAAAAAACTGCTGAAGTGTGGCTTCTCCAGAACACTCTGAATCACGGGGATATTCCACATGGCCATATTTACTGTGTTCTTGGCTATGGCCACCAACAGCTCCTAAGCCATGTGAAGAAAGAGATTTAACATCGCTGCTGTATCCAACAGCACCTTCACTGCAGACCGAGTAAGAGGCAGTGCTGTGATCTGAATTCAAAGACAGTCCTGACTCTGAGCCAGGTTCTTCAAAGAGCTGAGAAACTTCTATAGGATCAAAGCCTTCTTCCAGAACCAAAGATATGAGTTTAATTTCATCAAAATTATCATCGTAGGCTGTTAGGTTTCTCATGTCAGCCACTGAAAACAGCCCTGTCAAATGGGACCCATGAATTAGTGATTCTGGATTTATGGTATTAGAGCTTGACAGAGGAAAAGACTCTAGCCTTTGTAAATGTCTTGTTTCAGAATTTGTTTGAGTGGGGTAGTCTATTCTTGGTAGCGTAGCATCATGAGGACTGAAACAGTGGCACAGTGTCTGGGTCAAACTTATACTGTGGTGTGAGCATGATGGGTCTTGGCCTCTACTAGAAGTAGCAACTCGTGTATCTTCCAGTAAACTCACCTAAAAGACAATTGGGGGAAAATGGGATCTTTTATAAAATGAATGCTTCTACATTCCTCATCTACACATTCTTGCTCAATTTATTTTCTAATACTCCACTATTTGAATCTACTAAACTAAAAATTTTATACACAAAGCTCTTCTTTAGCTGTCCTCAATACTGTTTCCCATTTCTACACAGCATAACCTGTGCTGGCATGTGGCAAGAGCAAGCGGGAAGGGTGCAGAAGGAAAGTGACTGAAGGGATGGGAGGAGGACTCGCGGAGGACAGTGTGCGACTCATGAGTGTTAAAGAGGTGGAAATGGGGCTGTTGCTCAGTGTACATCAAACTACAGCGTACGTACATGTTACTTCTGATCAGCTCTGAGAACAGGCCCTCCTAGGAAGGGCAGTGCTGCCCATTCCCTGGTAGGGGTTGTGATGATCATCTGATTCCAGGGTGAGCTGGTTCAATGTGCTAAACTGTTAGAAAAATTAACCTTGTAAAGAAGATAAATAGCTCACCTGCAGGAGTTAACCAGTGAGAACAGCGGTGTAAGAAATGAGGGGAGGAGGACAGCAAGGTTAAGGCCATGCTGTCACAGTCTCACTGCTTTTGTTTCACAGTTTATAAAGCTTTTGGGGCTGTGAGCTGCCACATTTGGCTTCGCTCCTTCTTAACTGAGGTCTATTGTGTTCAGATTTCAACTCCTTTACTAGTCAATTTGGAGGAACACCACCACTCCTCCCTCAGTCACACCTTCTGTGGATGTCTTTTGACTTCAAATTACTACTCAATTTTTCTTTATGAAAATAAAGCTGCTGTACGATCCCTCAGCACTGAAGTCCAGATGATAAACAAGTGCTGCAGTAGCATTCAGGCTTACCTTTTGTGGGCCTAGGGCATAGTTGCTGTGTCTGAGAACTACAAAGCCACTGCGCAAGATTATGTCAGGGCACTTGCTGACCAAGTAGTCGTAAAATACATGGATACAAAAAACTTGAGAATGTAAATACATCAAGTAGGAAATGTATGATATGATTCCTCCGTAGCTGAGCATCCCTACTGTGGTGCAAGACAGCACTTTTCTGACTGCTGTTCATTGAACAAAGAATGTAAAAAGCACTTTCCGCAAGGGAGGAATGATGTACCATAAAGACCAGAATGTCTTTAGTTCTCTACCATGCTTACTGGGAGTTCAGGTAACAGAAGAAAATCTTGCCTTATTTCTCCTAGGTAGCTACCTTGTGCTAGCCCCTCTGTAGTCTGAGAGGTAGAGCTGGTATTTTCAATCAAGCCCGTGAAAAGAAATAATCTTAGTAATTTCACTATTAAAAAATCACCCACACTGCAAAGACTTTGTACCTGGAAAAAAACAAGCAATCCATTTTCAAGAGATAGACTGTCACAAGATGGCAGTGCATTAATAGTCCTAAATAAAATATGAGAATGTGTATTGTTATAGCTACGTAAAGTCTACAGCCAAATTCCTTTCAGATTATGAAGAGAACAGAAAAAACTAAACCGATGAACTTCTGAACCTCGTGAGTGTGGAATCCATTACCAACGCCGAACAGAGGAGGAGGCTAATTTATGGGCTGGGAGGCACTATCCAACCTAGAGATTCCCAAAACTAGGTGTTCCAGAGATAAACATGAAGTTATATGGAAAACACTGATGACCCTGTGAGGCTCCTACAATGGGAAGTGTATGTAAGATGCCCTTGGAGTATTGCAAAAAAGGAATGTACGGAGTAGCTTCATGGTTAATGATTGCAGCTATGCACTGTGGGAGAGGAGGGAGACTCCAATTAAGATAATAACTGTTTTTTTGTGAAGATGGGCACCCAGAAAGTAAAAAGTAGTATCAGAAGCCCAGAAGATAAAAAACAGAAAGCAAAATGGTTTTGCCGCTAATGTTGACTGACCTGATTTGCAGTGAAGATGGGCCTGTTTTTCTTGAGGGTAATATCCTTGTAAGCACTTGACCCAATATTTATGGCAACTCTAATCTTTGGCTGCAAATGCTTAATAGCTGCTAGTGCTTAGTAACTCAGTGCTGCTCTAGAGAAACACGCCAAGAGCTGCTGTATAAATAGGAATTGGCATTAGGTTTCAGAAAGAGAATTATCGGTTGAACTAATTAAGTTGTCCAGCGGCTGCATCCAACTTTGAACACCAGGTGACAGGACTTTGCAGTTTTCAAATCCCAGACAAATTACGGGGAAAATTTTTTGAGTAAAGCCAATGACAGCTGCTGTAAAAGGTGGATACTAGCGTCTTTAACGTCTTCAGATGAGTTTTACTACACTGTTTTGCTGATATATTTACTGGGTTTTTTTTTAATTAGACACAACAGAGGAAGTCATTATCGAATAATCACTGACTGTATCCCAACCTATTAGCAATATATGTGTTTTCCCATTTACCTCTAGCACGTTTTCCATCTGCGATGACATAAACTGTAAGCAGCCCTCTAAGGAGAGAAGGGAGTCTGCACAGCTGCGGTTGCTCTGTGACAGAAGAAACAGAAATGCTTTGCAAAGCACAGTTATTTTACATAAAAGGAGGTAAAAATCAAACTCCAAAAGGAAACAGAGCATAGCCCTGTGAAACACTGCTGCTGACCCTGCCATCAAGTCTTCATCCTGATGGGGGATGTCACGTTGCTAGAACAAGCAGAGTAACTCCATGGCAAGAGCATCCTACTCTGGCCCACAACAGCAGAACTGAGCTTTCCTCCCCTCTGAGGCTGCACCTACCCACCATTGTGGAAAAATCACATATTTTCCCAAAGCCTAGCTGGCAGAGCAGTGGCAAACAGAGGGGCTGGCAAGAAAACCAGATCCTAAGTTCTCAGCTCTCGTAAGGTCTCAAGAAGAACGAATGCTCTTTTCATGTAGCTCTCAGAGATAACAAAATCCAAAGTGCACCCATTTTCGTTTAACATCATTAAGATTATTTCTCTGCCTTCTAGATACGATACATGTTAATATCTGAACAATTCAGTTTCCCAAATGTAATTCTACACCTGAGCATCAAGCTTTACATAAATGGTAAATGCAGTGTAATTTAGCATCCATGTCTCAAGTGTTTGTAGGCCAAAAAAATCCTTGCCCACAGACACAACACCTTCAACATGGGAGAAAATAAAACCAAATTGAAAAATGGTTAGTTGCAAGTGATTTCTGTAAACTTTAGAACACTTCAACTACATAAACTACATGGGGGGGGCAATTTTTGAGAAGGTGTACAAGGACATCATTCACAATATCTGAAGTCACTGTTCCTTTCCTGCCCTTCCAAGGGGCATGAAAGGAGGAAATCAAATATTCCTTTCAAAACTATCCACTCTGTTTCTTACGCTACTCTTTATCTCAATGATAAGACCTATATCATCCCTCACTTCCTCTTCACTGTTTTCCCTTCTTCAACTTTTTTCCACCATTTACTTGATTTATGTCTTCTTCCTCCTCTTGAAGTTCCAGCTGACCATCTCCTTGGTGCAGACAGCAGTCATCCAAAGCTTCCCGACATGTTTCCAGGTCAATGTCCTGAAGACACAAACAAAACAGTTATATTAAGCAACACGTTGTCAAAACTGATCTTTAAAATGCAATTTCTTTTTTTTTTTTAAACAGCTATAGCATTTCAAATAACATAATAAAATATACACTGAACAGTTCATTCACGTGGATGAACTGACTCTGTGCAGGCTTTGGGGGAAGAACAAGACCAACATCAGTTCGGGATTGCAGACACCACCTCCTCTCTCAGTGCCCAGGCACTGAACCCATCTGCTGTAGAAATGGACATGCACAATACTGGAAACAAATTCTTCTACCAAGAAAACACACGGTGATGTGATTTCATGGAAGTTTTGGGCTATCAGTATCTTTTGGATGTCATTTCGCAACAATATATCCAAGCCAGACATATAGTGAATGATGGAATCTTAAAATAGACAATTACATGTGGCCAGTTAGCAAAATCCCTCGCTTTTTCTTTCAGGAAAACGATCACATTAACACATAGTGTAATAGCAGCTCTGTTTCCCCATCACTTCCACGTAGTCATTACCCAGTTCCCATTTATCCAAATGATGGGTTTTTTTTTTAATCTCCAGCAATGAAATTGCTCTGATTTAGTGGTCTCAGAAGCATTTTTCAAGTTATCTTTTATCTACAGTCACATCAGCAGACTTTTAAAATTTTTATTACAGGGGTGGGGTATTGCTAGGGCAAGAAGGAATCACTGTTAGGGACTCTGCATATTTACATTTTAAAAAATTTTGGTATTTCAGCTTTTATATGGGGCAAGCCTGAGTTATCAAAATGTGAAATTTGGTGGAACAACTGTCAGAAAATGAAGTGGCCCCGCTGCATGAGTTCCATATATCCTCAGCAAAATGCTATGGCAGGAGTAGAAAAGACAAGCTCCCAACAGGAGCAAACGTAATGAGTTAGTGTTCCGTTCTAAAAATCACAACAAACTTACTTTACAGGTTTTATATGAAAGCATAAACTATATAAAAAACTGCAGCTGTAACAGTCATCAAAATGTGTAAGAGATTTTTAAAAATTATTGCTTCACACAAAGCAGCTAAAAAATAAAATGTAAGAAGGCTGGAAAATAGGACTCTGGAGTAAAATATAATTTGAAAATAAAGTAATATTAATTTCATTTTATTAATCTATTAGAATTCGTATTTTAAAATTATGAAAATTAATTTTATTTTTATTTTATTTGTTGGCTTTCCATTCTTCTGTACTTTCTTTTCAAGGATTGGATGGAAACTTTAATTTTATAAACAGTCATTTCTAACAACAAATAGATGTACAGGGCACTCATCTGTCACTCTAATGTAAGAGGTACTTTCCTTCAATGATGTCCAACACACTTTGTAGCAATTAAAAACTATATGCCAACATAGTACGTCTTCTTTGTCAGCTGCAGTTGACCAGACGACTTATTATTGCCAAATATGAGAAAACAAATTTACTTTTCTAAACACACACACAAAAATACAGTTTTCCTCCACATAGCAAAGCAACAGGAGAGGGAATTTCATGTACGCAACACTGAGAACATGGTAACTAGCTACCTGCAAACACTTACAGGAGTTCAATGGAGATACTCACAAGCATGAAGCTAGTCCCATAATTACATGTTTGCAAGATCAGCGCTAGTCTTTAATTTTACAAACAACCAACTTGTCCAATGAATGTGATCTATTATAATCCTAATTAGTAAAATTCACCATCATCAGAAGCAGATAAGAAGCCAAGGACAACTGCTATTACAGACCTTAAGCGGCTCCTGTTGAGCTGAGCAGCCTGGGAAGCTGATGCTGTTAAGGCAGAGGATTCAGCTCCCGATTAATACAGCAAATTCATTATTGGCTGATGAAGAGGCAAATGCAGGAAACAGTCAGAAATGTAATATCTCAAATGTGATGCCTCAAAAAACACCTGTAAGCACAGGTTTTGAATACAGAAAGTATATGGGTGAGAACTCGATGGCACCTATTAAAATCACCAGGGGTACAAATCTATTCTGCCACCACGGAAAAGAAAAGCTTGGGGTAACTTTGTGAAGAGCCCACGGTGTGCCCTGCAGATCATTCCAAACCCTCACAGTTCCAGTCTGCTTATGGTGGAAATCTGCGTGCAGGCAATGCCGATCTGCTGAAGCTTACGATGGAGATGGTCCTTCCCAGCACCATCGTGAGGACAACCGAACTTCTGGTGTGCCTGATGGGACCACCACCACTCTCCTTCCTGAAGAGAAACTAACTGCTCCTGAAGCTCACAGAAATTTGTGAAGACTGCCATGGCTTCAGTTTCCCCAGGACATCAGAGACAAATGAATTTTCAGGTCTCTTCCTATGGATACATAGAGCTGTTGACCACTAAGGAGATGGGGAATATTTCTGACCGTTGATTTTAGGATTTATCTGGAGTCTGCATTGATTTTTATGTGTATTTTAAGAAATAATAATGCCTTTCGCTATTTTCTCTTCTAAGACACAGACAGTGTCTTGGTACCCTTAGTTGCCAGGCTGAGAGCCACCAACTGCACTACAGGATCACGTGCCATTTTGTCCTACCCACCCTTCGCTGGATAAAGAACTGGCTGAATGGCCAAGCACAGAGAGTGGCGGTGAGTGGAGCTAAATCCAGCTGGCGGCCAGCCACAAGTGGTGTTCCCCAGGGCTCAGTTTTGGGTCTGGTCTTGTTTAACATCTTTATCAATGATCTGGATGAGGGGATTGAGTGCTCCCTCACTAAGTTTGCAGATGCCACCAAATTGGGTGGGAGTGTCAGTCTGCTTGAGGGTAGGAAGGCTCTGCAGAGGGATCTGGACAGACTGGATCGATGGGCTGAGGTCAATCGTATGAGGTTCAACAAGGCAAATGCCGGGTCCTGCACTTCAGTCACAACCACCCTATGCAATGCTACAGCCTTGGGGAAGAGTGGCTGGAAAGCTGTCTGTCAGAAAAGGACCTTGGGGTGTTGGTCAACAGCCAGCTGAACATGAGCCAGCAGTGTGCCCAGGTGGCCAGGAAGGCCAACGGCATCCTGGCTTGTATCAGGAATAGTGTGGCCAGCAGTAGGAGGGAGGTGATTGTGCCCCTGCGCTCAGCACTGGTGAGGCCGCACCTCGAGTACTGTGTTCAGTTTTGGATCCCCCAGTACAAGAAGGACATTGAGGTGCTGGAGCATGTTTAAAGAAGGGCAACAAAGCTGGTGAAGGGTCTGGAGAACAAGTCTTAGGAGGAGCGGCTGAGGGAACTGAGGTTGTTTAGTCTGGAGAAGAGGAGGCTGAGAGGAGACCTTATCGCTCTCTACAGCTACCTGAAAGGAGGGTGTAGTGAGGTGGAGGTCGGTCTCTTCTCCTATAGGAGACGATAGGACGACAGGCAATGGCCTCAAGTTGAGTCAGGGGAGGTTTAGATTAGATAAGATATTAGGAAAAATTCCTTTCCTGAAAGAGTGGTCAGGCATTGGAACAGGCTGCCCAGGGAGGTGGTTGAGTCACCATCCCTGGAGTTGTTCAAAAAACGTGTAGATGTGGCACTTCAGGATATGGTTTAGTAGGCATGGTGGTGTTGGGATGATGGTTGGACTTGATGATCTTAGAGGTCTTTTCCTACCTATGATTCTATGATTTGGCTTAAGAACAGCACGGAGGCCAGAGCCTCCCTCGGATCTTCGCACAAAGCTCCTGCTGATGTGAACGGAGGTACCAGCGGGATGGGAGGGAGGCAGAGTCTCACATTTGCAATCACGACCATTCAATGTAGTTTACCAAAGGGAATGTATCAATCTCTACTGCATGAGCTTAATAATGCTGCACCATGTGGCTTTGAATGTTAGTCTTACTACAACTGTTTCTTCCTCCAGCAGATGATACTAAAATATACTTATGCCTGCTCACACTGATTACTACTGCAATAAGTTATCCATCCTTTTAAAAAACCTGTTTACACCACCACCAGGGCAGCTTCTGAAGGAGCATGGCCCTGTGACCAGCTTTTCACAACAGCCGTGGTACAGATACAGTGCATGCAAGATTCTTCACAGCACCAGTTTCTACGTGTGGGATCATTTCAGAGAAACACTCGATACGGAAATCGTGTAACACAACCAGAACCTTTTCCCCTTAATTTCTTGGTTTTGGCTTTTAACAAAAATCCCCTGGATTATGCTGTTAAAGATTTACTCTCTGACATTACAACTTCCCTCCAGCTTGTTAGTCTTCCCCCGTGATGAAGGACAGTTGGAAAATACTGCCCCACAACTGAACGCTTCTTTCCACGCCTGTGCATCACTTGGAACTGATTGCTGGGCTACTGCTGTGGGGAGAATAGGGGGGTGCCTCCCCCAGAAACAGCCATACCATGTTTTTGAATGGGGCATTTCTTTAAAGATAGTTTAATTTCACAGTCTGAATATGCATCTGATGACAAAAGGGATTAGGTGTATATACTACTTAGTACTGCATTGCCATACTTAGTCCTTCCGTCCTGTTCCTTATTTCACATTAATGGTAGCAGAAGAAACAGTGATTGAGTTACAGTAATACCACTATGAGCCCAAGAGCTAGATCAGGACCACACGTGGGTGGTCTCTGTACAAAGAAAAAGACTGATTCTTGCTGGTTGTAGAAGACTTGCTGTTACCACTAAACCCATTCATTGCAGCAGCCTTTCCACTTCTACCACTGGAGGGTGTGGAAGTTCACACCTCCCACAGCAGGCTGCTTAGAAACCGTTTATAGACTGCAACCCTACCTGATGACAACCTTCGACCTGCGTTTGGAAGGATTTCTGTGCAAGCACAAGGCAAGAGATTTACACTAAAAACACACACCCACAAAAAAAATCCAAGTATCTCAAATTCTATTCTTCTGCCATTTACTGGTTTCAGTTGGGCCAGAGAGCACAATCTGAGACTAAGTCTGACTTACCAAATTATCCATCAGCCTTAGGGGCTGCGCTCCAACTGTGCACCTGCCCCTTCCCTAAGGCACACCTTACCACAGGCCAACTATCAGCTTCAGTTTGTCAGTCTCTGGCACATAAAAAATCGTAATTTATGTCAAATCTGCTACTTAGGGTGGGCCAAGCATCAATGCAGAGGTGAGAGAAAGTATGATTTTGCAGGTGGCCTGGCCTACGTTTAATTAGAAGTATGCTGCCTACTCTGGCAGGTTGTCTTACTACATTGAAAACAAAGCCTTCAGTTTCCAATTAAGTACACTGGAGTATTAATCTCAGCATAAATTGGATGCACTGTACATCAAACTACCCCTCCACATATCTCCTCCCCTTGCTATCCACACCCATATATTATTTGTGGTCCATAAAACAATGTGTAGGGAGCAGAAACCATAAAGATCTCAAAATCGAACAGGTCCACTGCAATGCACTGGATGGGTGAACGAGACCCCTCTCCAGGAGCGGCAGAAAGCGTAAGCAAGCTGTTTTCAGCTATTGACCAGCATGCAGTTGGAAAACAGGGCTAAAACTACACAGCTCAGGGCTGCAAGTGCACAGAAATCGCTGAAGGAGCTCTGGAGCCGCGGCAGAGCAGAGCAGGCAGGGTGGTTTGCTGGGGTGCACAGGCAGTCTCGAGGGGCAGGGACCCCCTGCCCCTGCAAAGCTCCATTTCGCTGCAGTCACACTCTGAGTTATCTCTACAAACAGCCCAGCGCCGGAGAACAGATATATGACCACCTTTATTTGCAAAACACCATAAATTGTCATGCTGATTACTCATGTATCCCATCCACTTGCTGTCCTCTAATTCCTCTACGTTATATTTTCTTTTAGTTGTCGAGCTTTTAATTGCTCCATTACTGCCATTAACTTTCGAGATGCTTTTCTGCAAACTTTTGTCCCTTCTCCTTTATTGACTGCACTTCTCCGCAGAACTGGCCCTCTTCTTCCCACCAGCTGAACAGACGTGGCATGGACCTGGTCATCTTTGCCACATTTTGAATAATTAAGTGACATTTCCAGAAGATTGTCCCACACCAGTAAAAGTTAGGCAAAAGGAATACAGCTTCTAGTAACACAACCAGTAGTTTCATTTTACTACTTTGTAGGATTTAATATGATTAATAATTAAATAGAACGATGCATAACTGTTTTCATATAGCTCTAAGGTTACTGATGTTGCTCTTTGCCTGTGTGCTTTAAATACGCGATGATAATTAATCTTACCAATCGATAGCTACTTAATCTCAACTAAAAAGCAAAATGTTTCTTGCTGTTTCTCCATATTCATAATGAGCCCTAAAATATTGTGTAAACACAGGAACAGAAGAATACTTTATCATTTGAAATGCAGCCAGGGTTTAGAAAGCATGGAGGATGGAATGGCAGATGGAAACACCAAATACCAAAGCAACTTTTATGTTTTATACAGCTAGGCTTAAAAACCACACTAAACCATGCTAACTAAGCAAAGCAATTGAGTAAATCAAGCGGTACATGACCGTGACTCCACATGTGGCACCCGTCACGTGCCTGCGACACATCTACTGTAAACCCCACCACCAGCGCCTGGGCTGCAACCAAACACACACCGTTAAAGGCAGCCCTGCCCGCCCCAGCCAGTCGTCAGCTCCTCTCTAACCACGTGCATTTCGGAAACAAAAGCGCTAGGGCTTCACATAGCGTGGCTCAGCCACGCCAGCTATCACAAAACACGCGTGCTCTGTGCACTCCACACGTTCAGCACAAACACGGAATTAACACCAACCTACTCCCCAAACGGGAGGCAGAGACGGGTACAAGTTGAAGACACGGACATAAATAGTATCGTCACTAATTTCAATTAAGACACCAGTTTTCATGCCAAAGACCGCTCGATAGCCCCTTCAAAATGAACCTTTTAAACTGCTTCTGAAACATAATAAAACAAGTTTTATGCTCCAGCCATTTGGTCCTGTGCTGGTGTTTTGCACCAGAAACTAATTTCATCCTACAGGATGCAACATCTCTGACAGTAAATCTGATAAAGGTTATCAAATTTATTCTGTCACTCCTTCAGAATGAGCACATTAAAAAAGAAAGAGCTCTTTCTGTGTGTCTGCTGACCCAAGACGCTTTCTATTGTGAGCAGTGGACTGCACAACATCAGGGTTCTCTAAGACACTCTTTTTTTCCTGCTCTTGTTCTCTGTCTTTACCCAGGCTAGATTCCCAGTATACCCT